GCGTGTGTGTGCGCGCGCGTCCGTCCGTCCGCGCGTCCGCGCGCGCGTCCGTCAGTCCGCGCGTCCGCGCGCGCGTCCGTCAGTCCGTGCGTGCGTGCGTCCGTCCGTCCGTCCGTGCGTCCGCGCGTCCGTCCGTCCGCGCGCGCGTCCGTGCGTCCGCGCGTCCGTCCGTCCGCGCGTCCGTCAGTCCGCGCGTCCGTCCGTCCGCGCGTCCGTCCGCGCGTGCGTGCGTGCGTGCGTGCGTGCGTGCGTGCGTCCGTGCGTGCGTGCGTGCGTGCGTCCGTCCGTCCGTCCGTGCGTGCGTCCGTCCGTCCGTGCGTGCGTGCGTCCGTGCGTCCGTCCGTCCGTGCGTCCGTCCGTCCGTCCGTCCGTCCGTGCGTCCGTCCGTCCGTCCGTCCGTGCGTCCGTCCGTCCGTCCATGCGTGCGTGCGTGCGTGCGTGCGTGCGTGCGTGCGTGCGTGCGTGCGTGCGTGCGTGCGTGCGTTCATGCGTTTGGGAACATTGTTGAGTTGTGACGACAGCCATGAGGTCTGCATTCTGGGGAGAGCAAAGTTTAGAGTACGTTGATTGTAGGCCAAGCTAGAAGCTTGTGAGTACGGAAGCCTCGTAGGTCGTCAGAGTTTCTATAAATAGCTGCTTCTATCTCGTTGGTTCAGTGAGTCGTTTCTTGTCTTGCGGCTCGACGCTGGGGGGTCGTGACAACATCCGGGACGATGGGGGCCGATCGCTCGGTAAGCTGATGTGTACAGCGAGTGAGTAGGGCCACCTTACAGTGTGGACGTCTCCTCGCGGCTACCTCTTTCACGCCCATGCTGGCTGGATGTCTGTTGTGGCCGAGTGACTCCATGGGCTTAAGATTCTGCGCAGCTGCCAGTCGCATAGCTACACTCTAAAGCAAAATTACCCGAAAAAGGAGTACGGAGCCGAATACGCGCGCGCGATGAACGGATAGACTGTTGAGGAGCAACCACAAAGGTAAGCGTGCTGCGTGAAACCAGTTAGTCTCCAAACACGCTCAACTAAGGATGAACCTCCCGGGGATTCATCATCATCAGCCTGACAACGTCCACTGCAGGACAAAGGCCTCTCCCGAGTTTCGCCAGTTAACCCAATTCTGTGCTTCTGCTGCCAATTTACACCCGCAAACTTCTCAATCTCATCTGCCCACCTAATCTTCTGTCTCCCCCTAACCAGCTTGCCTTCTCTGGGAATCCAGTTAGTTATCCTTAATGACCAGCGGTTATCCTGTCTACGCACTACATGCCCGGCCCATGTCCATTTCCTCTTCTTGATTTCAGCTATGATATCTTTAACCCCCGTTTGTTTCCTAATCTACTCTGCTCTCTTGGGGGTTGCAGGCAGCACGAAAAGCGTTGCCAAGGAGACGAGCCCTCCTTCTCCACAGAACACATGTCCTTCTCCTCCTCTGCTGGCTCTGTCTTTTTCCGTATTTTGCCGACGACGGTTGGCGTTGTGTCGTGCTCGAGGTGCTCTACGACGGCCGCCTGGATTCGACGGTCTAAGAAATTCGACCTGGTGCTTGTGCGTATGCTTGCGTGAGCGTGGGCTGCTGCTTTTGCGTTTCTCTGCATCCATGAAGTTTGGAGCAAGCCTCGACATGATACACAGCGTGGCGTGGGTACCAACACACGAAGCAACAGTTCGGAAGGCCAATATAGCGGCTGAGAAGACAACAGGCCTATCGATATATACTTCAGTGCGACTCAGGGCAAAAAACAGCGCTGGATTCTAAGGCAAGTAGGTTATCATTTTTCATTCTATTCTACTTGTCGCGTGTGCGATGCGGATCGCGCTTGCCGGGAACGGGCTCGGGCGTGTTCTTTATCGCACGCACGAAATGCATCGCGAAGGTCAGCTTCAGCGTCTTCAGTTCGCCTGTGCTAAGCGACGGCCTGGAAATGGACCGCCATTGCCGTCGGCCTCCCGTACACTCGTTCATCGAGTGCTCGCCTGTCTTCACCGCCGCGGTGAGCTCCGTGCTTACGTAATGGGGCTGAGACCTCGTCGCTGTGTTGGGAGTCGTCGAAAATAAGTGGCGGGTTCTCGTCAAGAGCTTATTAGTAGTATGTCGCGCACTGTAAGTGCACCAGCACGGGCTTGGGAGGGGGGGGGGGTTCGCTAGCGTCGGAACTCACTGAAAATTGGTTGCCATTACAGTTGGCTTTCCTGTCAGTCGGTCGCACGCAGCTAGGCACGTCCAAGGCCGTTTTTGATCTCGTGTTCGCTTGCTCTAGCTGAACGACGTCGCTTAGGACTCGCCGACTTGTTAGCGGCATGGTGGTTTATGGAGTGGTGGCTGCGGCCACCACTCCTAAGCTATTGCGCTACGGGGATTGAAATGAGTCTGGCGATGTGTGACATCAAGGTGAAATTATTAGCATGTCATATCTCACGTATGTTTTCATTTCACTTTGCATGTATTTCTCATATACATTTGTATTAATCCTCTGTCAGGTGTGCCTCACCATTTTACATACTTATTGTGCAGCCGTGGGCACACATCGAGCTGAAGACTGTGCGCTGTTCTGCGATGCCTGTCATCCATCTCTTTCGTCAGAGCAGCTTCAGAAGGAGTCTGCGAGATGTGAAATTAAAGTTATTTGTGTGTCATATTTTAACGCTTGTTCTTATATTAACGTGCACGTACTTGTCATATGCGTGCATCTTCATTTTCTGTCACGTGTGTCTAACTATTTTTACTATATTATAGTACGTGCAGCCGTGGGACCACAACTGGAAGAAGGCTGCGTGTGCTGGCGTCTGTAATGCCTGTCATCTATCGCTTCCGTCGGAGGGGCTCCCCAAGGAGTGAACAAGATTTGACAACGAGACTGGACTTGTACACTTCACCATGAATTCACTTAAAAGAATAGAGAAACTTCAAGTGTATGTCGAAAAATAAAAGATTTCTATGTTTCACTTTTGTCGTTCGTTGTTGCCGTGACTGCGAAAGCACACGGCAACAACACATAGGTGGCCAACTACTTTTTCGCGTGTTCTTTTCTGCGCAATGTGTTGCTCACTGCGCAGAAAAACAGGCGAAAGAAGTAGTAGGCCTGGCGGAAAATAAACAAAAAACAATGTTTGAATTGGGGACAAAAAGTTCATCTTATTGGAGTATTTGAGTGGATCAACCGTTCATCCAGCAAGGTGCAGCTGTGAGGACTAACGGTTGCCCGGTAAGGTGTAAATGTGGGGATTAACAGTTGCTCTTTAAGGGGCAGAAGTGATGACTAAATGTTATGCCTTTGAGGTGAATTCCGGGACTAACGGTTACTCACTGAGGTGTGAATGTGAGGACTAAACGTTAGTCTCTGGAGCTCGTCTGCGGGCACTAAATATTAGTCTCTAGAGCTCATTTGTGGGGACTAACTGTTATACCTGGTGCCGTTAGTCCTTGAATGGATTAATGGTTCTGGCCGCCCCATTAGTCCCCAAAAGCGCGAACCACACAGCCTTTTAACACCATTTTGCCTTTTAAGGCCATTTTGCCTTGAGTGTAGGTGGATGTTTCTCTCTGCTTCCCTCATTTTTTTATCTTGCAATACACGAGTTAAGAAAAGCGACTTTTGTTTTATTTGAGCTGGGCGCCTTGGTCGCTGCTGATGTACTTGCTAGCAGTATTGACCCCCGCACCACGTAAGCGAGGATCCCGAAGCTCCATTTCATTTGCCGTACTGCATTGTTCAGTCGAGTGTTTCGAGTGTATGCAGCAGCATTGATTTATTCCGGAGCTGGATGTCATCTGCGCATCGTTCTGCCCGTTGGCCGAGAATGCGGTCGTGAGCTCGGGCGATGGAAATACTTGAGACCTGCACAACTGCCTGCAGTCCTGTGTCCTCTTGAATGGTGCCCGCAACCATAAGACGTTTTGGCGCGATCAACTGTTCCTCGTTCCGACGGCCACGTTGCTGACCTGCTGTTGTGGAACCGGTTCTGCGGTAAAGTCATCAAGCCGTACAGTGCAGCAGTGTTGATCTTCGGCAGTGCCGCGGGGCACAATCATTTTTTGGGGCATGTGTTTTCCTCTTTAGCTAGAGCTTGTGTAGTCGATTTCTTTTTTTTATTTTTGAGGTATGACTTCAAATAAGGTTGGGGAGATGTGGAGGTGTTAACGCCCTGTGTAAGGTCATTTGCGCATCGCAGAGCACGTGGCTCTCGCATAAATCGCAGTTATGGATCACAACAGGTTGAGTGGTAGGTGGCGTTGTGCTCGCGAGACTTTACCATAATTATCATTATCATGCTTAACGCGGCAGCGTGAGCAGTGACGCCTGCTGGCGATGCTGGCTGGCAGAGTGAGGAGTGAGTTTAACGGTTCTTTCTTGGCGTGTGGCGGCTAAAACGAGAGGTAGTCTCTCACAGCGGGTCCGTGGTCGATGGCACCATGGGTCGTCTTCCATGAGACCTTATGGTGAGTCAATCATTGATGATGCCGCCTTGTGTTAGTGTTGAGGTTTGTAGAATACTGTGTAAGGTTGTTTCGGAGTGTTGATCACACCTAATGTATTTTGAAACGGCTTATGATATCGTCGTTCAGAGAGATTTAAATAAACACATCCTTGGCTTTGGTACGACCGCGTCTGCTGTGTGTTTCCGTTCGCGCCGAGAGCATGGTGTCCCATTTCAAGACCCCACAGTCTCTCACCACGTTTTCAGTTCGCCCAGTGTTCGATCAGGCACTTGAAACCTTAATTGTTATGAAGTAAAGTACAGAAGCAACGTTTTCGATAGAGGCACAAAACAAATATATGTCAACAAGTAGAAATTCACTTAGTACACTCCGAAGGAATATTCAAGCTCGAGCCAACTTCTAGAATTGTGAAATAAAAACGAATTTAAAGCAGTTATGTGTTCTCGTGAAGCTACAAAGACTACGTTTCTCATCTCAGAACGGCAAAAAGCGCTTCTGTTGAACATTTATAATGACAATTCACGAACGGTGAGTAGTATGTGGCATGCAGAGAAGCGATTCACACCGGTTCAAGATCCTGCCCATGGGTGTGGTGTCGAAGAAAGACATAGGAGAGCAGAGCACGCGATCCAGCATCCCAGCGTGCAAGATCTTGCTTCCCCGCAGTGCAGCAAGATTCAGGGAAATGCTGCCCACCAGGATGAACATGGCTGCGAGAGAACGCGGGATGACACGCTATCAACACCCAATTCGGTAACTATGAGGGGAATAGTTATGGCGCAACTAACACAAACGTTTGATAAATTCTGGACTCAGTTGAACTGTTAAGCCTATATGGACCAGTGATAACAAGGACGATTTTCACTTGCATCGTAAATTAATGAACGTGCTAACTAAGCTACAGCAAATAATTTTGACTCACTTTGCACGAAAGTACCTTACAGATGTCGTGCTGCATAATTGATACTGGGTACTCTCGCATAATCAATGCGGACGTATATAGGTAGACGATTTTTGCAGTCATCCCAACTTTATTAGCTCCGACTTGATAACGGTCACCACAATATAACGTGGAAAATTACGTCCGCCGTACTTCCCATATTGGCTCTGTTTTGATTTCGATTAAGCTTGCCTCAAAACAGTCTTTCTGTTCGACAAGCACACTCGTCCGAAGGTACTCACTCTCGACGATGCCGTACATGGCGTACATGCCGAGACGGAAGTTTCGCTGTTGCGGATCGGTGGCCAGCACGGGGTCGAGGGCGTCGTTGCTCCACAGGCTGAGCCAGTAGCTGCCCATTATGTTGAAGGCGTGAGAGAAGACGTATGAGACGAAGGTGAGCGCCGTCAGCCACTTGCCCATGGCCTTGATGTACGCAAGATACACCCACCACTTCACCTGCGACGCAAAAGGTGAGTAGTCTATAAAACTTACCTCACTGCTGCGAAATGAAAAGATTGCACCGGAGCGTATAGGCAAACGTCTGAAAGCATGACTCGTAAACAAACTAATGAGTTTAGTTGCAAAATTTCTTTATTCATCAAGGAAAGTTATGTAGTTGTGGTGTGTCGTCAACCGATATGTACCTTTCGGACCAGACGATGACGTAGCATCACCGAAAAAGACCTGAATGATTAAAAACTACAAAGTCATTATGAATAATTCACAAAAGTGTGCCCAGCCAAGTAGATAATTCGAGGAGGCAAAATACTTTTTGCATGCAGAAACTAACGTCTTGGTCGGAACTGCACAGTCACACAAAATATGCGGTGAAGCTAGTCACCATCAGAGCACACAGCTCTACAATGCACGATTGACAGCCAGAATAACTAATAGAAGTTTTTTGTTCCTTATATTGTTTATGCCACTATTTCTTTACTTGCATCTTGGTTTTGGTTTATCAATTTACTCATCTTTCTGTTTACACTGTTACTGGTAATTGGGTAATTCTTGTTATGCAATTTTCCTTATGAGGTCCCCCTGCAGCCTTGGCCTTTCGTACCGCCTCTTGTATATCTATTTCGTGCAATGTTCTCTTCCCTGCCCTATAACCTGAAGTAAACTTAAAACTTGAATTAAAGGCAAAGTGGTTTCAGGGTGCAGTAAACGAATTGCCACATATAATTGACTTGTTTCAGCTAGTCACCTGCCCATGTTGCAAAAGAAAGCTGACGAACACAGACGTACACGTTCGTTCCTTAGCTTTATCTTCGTTTTTCATTCTTCAAGTTATTCGCATGTGAATTATAGAAGAAACGTGGCTGATTCCTACTTATAGGGATCGGTATAACCGAAAGTGAAACGTGTCTTCACAGAGGTAGTTGAGGGTTTATTGCTCTCTGTTTCGCCACAAGTGCAAACAAATGAATGCTACAGCAACGAATAACGGCAAGCAGCTCAGAAATTGCCGCGCGCACCTCAAGCAGAAAGTACGCACAAAATGAAAATACACAGGACAAGCGTGGGCAACCTGCTGTCACAGCTCGGACACTTAAGCACGCAGTCCATGCGGAAATAAAGAAGCACGAAATGAGCGCACAATTATACACAAGCAAGTGAGAACAGCTGCCACAATCCTTCCTTCGTGTATGAGCAGCGAGAGCTTTTCGTAAACGAGAGCCATGGCAGCAGGTGAAGGGACATTCCTGCTTCTTTACCAGTGTAACTTCAAAGTGAACTTGAGGGGGAAGCACAAGCGTGCAAACCACCTGAATCTCGAGATAGACGCGCGCGCAAGTGAGCGACCACGCCAGATAGCACCACTTGCGACATGCCACGTGGAGGTGCGCGTGCATAGCAACGTGTGGGCTGCCGTGGGGCTGCGACCTTTTGAGCGAGTGCGCCCAACGCTAAAGCCCTACGCTCCCGTAGGAACCATGTACAGTTACTCTACGCGCGCCTCTCGCGTCATTTTTCTATTAATGACGAAAATGCGCTGAGGTTACGTAGCTCTGAGGACCACCAACGGCACAAGGTGTATATAAATGGCTTGCCGTTCGCATCTTTCACAACGCCTGCTTTGTGGTCTAGTGGTTAGTGCTGCAAATTGAAAGGTTCATTGTTCGACGCCTCATTCAAGAATATTTTCTTGGTTTTTTAGATGCGGAGCATCTAATACTCGAGGCTTGTAGTGCGGCGCCGTCCGCAAACTTCCTCCTCCTTCTTCCACCATCTGTGCATCCCTTCTTCCTCTACACACCGCGCGCGCTTCACTCCTCCACAATCTGTGCACCCTTCCTTCTCTACACACCGCGTGCGCTTCTCTTCACGAACATTCGCTAGCTGTATAATGTAGCGCGCATGCGCCGTCACGCTTCGAGAACATCGGCAGCTGACGCGCGCGCATGCGCCGTTGCGCTTCTCCCCCTTCTCGAACATTCGACAGCTGACAGTGCATGCGCAGTCGCGCTGTATATATACTCAAGGTCGGCGCTCGCTCGCTCAGTTGCCGCTCGTCGGTTGGTTTGTACGGCGCGTCGACGTCCAAGGTCGCGGTGAAATGAATTCCAACGAATCCACAAACACAATGATCGACGTCCCTTCGACCAGTGCCGCCCTTTCGCATACGTGTGTACGTGTTCACTCATTTAACACCCCCTCCTACAACCACGTTAACCAATTTAGCCATCGACCCAAGTAAGTCGCAATTTAACACCCCATTTCACAACCACGTTAACCAATTTAGCCATCGACCCAAGTAAGTCGCACTTTAACACCCCGTTAACCAATTATATGCTCCGCATCCTCCTCAATGTTCCCCCGAGGGAAGCTGCGGGCAATTTTTTCTTTGCAATTTATTAGGCTATGTTTCACAATGCCGCATTCGTGACTGAAGGACGTACTTACCTTCTTTTCAATTCAGCCATTTTGGTTTAAAAGAAGCGTAACCGAAGTAGTACGAGTTCAGCCGGGAACAAAAATTTCCATGCACACTACGTGGTGTTGAGATTCAATTTACGGTCAGCCTCTAACTAGGGCGCAACACTAAAAAATCGCAGTTGATATCCATAGGCCAGCGCTTACAGGATAAACAAATATGGGACAGTTGCCACCAAAGTAGGAAGAGCTTATTTTATTTAAAAGTGAGCATGCTTTAATTCAATAAGGCGATACGCACTTCGGGTTATTTTTGTGCGCTAGGCAACACGCAGCCTTCAGTGCCAGGAAAAGTGCGTAAAGACGTCCAGAACAGCAATAAGTAAGAGGTATCCAGAAAAGAAGAATAAAATGTGCCTGATCTTTCTATATAGAAATCTGTATAGCACGAAAGTGAAACATGTCTTCACCGCGGTAGTTGAGTTTATTGTACATTGTTTCAGCAACAGCACCAAATTGCAAAGACACGTTAAGAATGGCAAGCAGCTGGAAACTTGCAACGCACACTTCAAGCAGAAATCATGCACGATATTAGCATTGACAGGACGAGCATGGACTAACACCTATTATAGCTTGATATATAAAGCTGCACTATTCAAACACAAAGACAGTCGTACGAAACAAGCGCGCAAGTATACACAGAAGAAGCGTGAATTGTCACTGCTTTTCCATCACCGTCTTTCGGCAGCGCACTCCTTACGCAAACGCGGCCACGGCACAGAGTGAAGTGAACTTAGTCCTCTCCCGAATTACGAGTCTGATAAGCACGCGCGCAGGAGAGAGCACGGTGGAAGAGACCACGCAACGTGGAGGCGACGACATTATGCAGCGCGACCAACTCAAGTACGTCTCGCCATTTTTCTACTGATAACGAAGACGCGCTAAAATTTCGAAGCTCTAAAGAGCGCCGTAAGATATCAGGTGTATACAAATGGCCGCCATTAGCATTCACCACAACAACAACAAAGCAAGCTCTCAGGTATAGTGGTTAGCGCCGTGTACTGCGAATAGCGGTTCGTGTGCGGGCGACCGCTTCTTGCCTTCATTTATTTTTTAATTGCTTAGCGTATACTTTAGGACGTCGCATCCGTAACGGAAATGAGTCAGCGAAGCCGTGGAAGACCCCGGCATAAAACATTCTCATGTTAAAAAACTGAAAAAAGAAGCAGACCTCTTTTTGTTGTATGTTTTATTGTGATTGCCATTATATGTGCAGTCTCAGCTGGTTTTTCGCCCTCTCCGCTACCGCCGTCTTTCACCATATATGTATACGTATCTATATCAATGAAAACTCGAGAAAGAAAACAAAAAGGCGCCCGCATCTTCCCAGGGGGGAAGGGGGAGCTTGAGTAAATGTGCCGCAGAGAGGGGGGGGGGGTATCTCGGGAAGGTTGCGTAATTGGGTATGGTTTGGGAATGCTTAATTGTTTTTCAAATTTATTATTCTTATTTACGGCATGAATGAGATGTGAAGTCAAAAAGTGTTAAGTTAGAGGGTGTCTTTATTGCTTGGTGGCGTCGTTGTATTGGACGGAGAGGATGACTGCTTTGTGGTCGCTGAAGTGCAGTCTCTGAGGAGCGGTCGTGCGATTGCGTGACTGGTGATTACGAAGTCGATACAACTGCCATTAATGGTGGTGGGCTGGTTGCCGTTGTCGACGTTGTTGTTGGACACGCAGTACAGCCCGTGTGGAGTGCACATCTAGTCGACTAACCAATCGTCTTTGCGTATGTCGACGTTGAATTGTCCAACAAGCACGAAAGGGTCAGATTTGCGCAAACGCGCGTACACGCTGTTCATTGCATGGTCGACGTACGCGTTGACTAGCATTTGAGCGAGGTTGGGCGCTAGGTAGATTGTCATGATGGTAACCCTTACACCGTCGTTGGCTCCGACGCCATAGTTGTCGCTGGCACTGTGTAGTGGACGACCTAGCAGCATGCTCGGTAGAATCACCGTAGACGTTGCCAACCAGGGTGACGACACAGTATTCACCATCCTTGCCGCTGAACCTGAAGTGGTCGTCGTGGTCGTTGTGTGGGGTAGAGCGTTGCCGGTGGTAGCTGCTGCTGCTGAGGTTGAGTAGCGGTTGCAGCTGTGGGCGTAGCTCGGGACAGAAGGATGCCCGTCGTTTGAGGTACACGTCCACGCCGCCAGCATGGCGAAAGGAGACGGCACGCGCACTCACTACCGCGTCGAACCCGGCAACGTCTACTACACCGTTTGTACTAATACCGGCGTTATTCAACGTCTCCGTTAGACACAGCACGTCCACTCTACCGAACACGGGATCTCGTGCAACGTCCAGCGCGTGAGCACCCAGTGATGGCACGTTAGAAGCGAGCGTAAACCTTCGCGCGCCCCCCGATCGTACACGTCACTTCTCTTGTTCTTGGACGGAGTCGAAGTAGCGGTGCGTGACGGTTTGCAAGCGGCAATTTCGGAGTTTTCGAAACTCGTCGACCATGGCTTTGTCGGAGTTCGCTTCGCGTTTGAAACGAGTAGCCGGCTGCCCAAACAG